TGGCGAAGACGAACCAAGGGAGAAGGCAGAGAAGCCTTCCGAGTAAATATTTTTCAAGAACAACAAAACACAACACTCCGTACACAGATCCCACCACTGTCCCTTGGAGCTTGAGGTTGGCAACTTTGAACGTGGCCTCTCTGCCGGAGCCGATGCTGACGGCGACCCCAAGGCTGGCCCAGAATCCATTTTCTTTGCTGTAAATTAGCCCCAGAAACGCCGCAATCCCCAGCGCAATTGCAGATTTGAGCGCTGGCAATGGCGTTACTTGTGGTGCCCAGCTGGTCCAAATCGAGCTTTTTGATTGCTTTGGCTCTGGTTTGTTGGGTGGTTGGGGTTTGTTGTTGCTGTTGTGGCAGAGGAGATTCATGCAGAATATGAAGAAAAGAGGGGGTAGATCATGCTGGGGATTTGTGGGCATCGTGTGAATCAAATCGACGGTGTTCATTGCGTCGTCGTCGTCTGGGTTTGACTCGGGGAAAGTATGCGAATCGGACGGCGGATGGGCGTTGGCTTGCTTTAGAGATTGACGGATGTGATTTTCCGAGGCGTTTAGAGCATGCTTAAGCGGTTCATTTTGCAGTGTTTCGATTGGATAGGAAGGAATGTTGGATAAAGCTAATTCCATTCCTCTTAACGGCGTTTCTAATTCTTGCAATCTCACGCATCCTGCCCGCCACTTTTTTAACGGAACCCACTCCCATTGCATGCTTGGCTGTCCATGCAAAAACAAAAATTATGTTTATTTCTAAATTTTGTCCCTATGCTTTTCTCGCAACAATTAAATGTTTGACAATTTTAAAAAAATATATTATGCACAAGAAATTGTTTTTTGAAAAAATAATGAACTGTAATTTTTCAATGGTGGTTCGCGTAAGAATTGGTTATTGTTTGCGAGGATTTAAATATTTTTTCAATTATATGTTAATATTTTTATGAATTAAGTTTTTGCTTGAATAAGATAATTATGACTTGGTATTTGCTCTTCAGATTCAATATTGGTTTGAGGATGAGCTTGGATATATGCCTTTTTTATGTTTGATTTTGTATTTTGTAGATTTCTATTGGTTGTAATATTTATTGGGTAGTTTGGGGCAATTTTGGAATTTAATTTTGGGGAGGTATTAACTTTATCTCAAGATCAAGTTTAGTGTTGAAGCAGTTGACAAATTTGACTAAACATAAGAGTTTTGGATGACTTTTTTAGAAGAAAAATTGTGGATTTTAGCCCACTCAAAGGATTTTTCCTTTTTCTTTTTTCAAAATTTTAACCAAAAGTGATTTTTTAATTTTTAAAAATACTAACATGTACCTAAATTGCTTCTTTTTAATTAGTGCAAAAATCTTCTAAAACTATATAAAAAAAACAATTATGAAATAAAAAAGGGTTTAAAAAAAGTTTTTACTAATAATAGAATATACCCACCTCTGTAATTCCTGGCATCGCCGGAAATTTAATCTAAATGGTATAAAATAAATATTTACTTATAAAAATATCATTACTTTTTGGTTTTTTTAGAAAATGTCACAAAAAGTGAATTTTAATTGATCTCATGTGATGCTATAAGTTTGTAATTTATGTCCATTTTATAAAATTATAAACTTAATATTTGGGCTAATTTTGGAATTATCATGTACCCAAATTTTATTTAGAAATTAAAAAATATTTGTGTATATTTAACCGAAATCATATAAGTGGTTTTTGCTGATGTAAGGTCCAAAAAGAAAAAGGTTGGTACGGAAATAGATATTTTCAATTTTGGGATGCACGATTTTGTCTTAGAGATTGGATTCTTATTTCTTACACAAAATCATCCATTACTAGATAATTAAAAATATATTGGTCAATATATTCTAAGCTAATAATTAAGTCAAATAATACTAACTAATACATTTTTTTTATATTGTGTGTTAAATTATATTATTAAATAATACTATTTAAATTATTTTATTTAAATTAGGACATGGTTTAAATTATATTATTTCAATTAGATTTCTTGTCTGAATCATGATTTGAAATAATATTAATATAAATATATAGGTTACTAAGTTTGTTTTCAAGGACGAACAATATAGCGAAATTTTAATTGTCTATGTATTCTCTCTATTTTCTCTACTCCTTGTTTGATAGTTATTGACTAACAGTAATTTTTTAAAGCCTAAAATAATTTTTTTAATTATTATTTTTTCACATTTTAATATTTGGTTTAAATATTATCACTGTACATCTACTTTGGATTTAGTTCATTTTAGCCCCTATAATACGAAAGTACCAAGACTAAAACGAGCCGAAGTTGTATATAGAGTGATCTAAATGGATGTTTTAAAAGTATATAATGACTAATATGAACCACAATCGAAATTATAGATATCGAAATGAAATTTGAATCTAATATTATTTAAATTTCCATAAAAATAAAGTTTGTATTGCTTACTTGGTATTGTCTTATGTGGCGCAGGAGTTTGGTTGCTGAAGTAGACAATAGTAAAGCCTTAGATATGGACCCTGCAGCCACTGCGTCATTGTCACTAAGCAGTGCCTTCAACAACAGCCCTAACCGCTCTCCCACGTTCTCCACCACTTCCTTCCTCTTCTCTTTCACCTTCACACCATACAATATAATAATTTGCTTTTAATATATGGTTTAGATTTTTTCTAAATAAAATATTTTAAGTAATCATAACGATGGTGAATGCATAATTAGCGTTACATTGATAAGCTATATACGTACAACATATAGTAAATATATATGTACTAAAGTTGTTCAATTTCGATTAATTAAGATACCTATTTTCGATTAAAGGATTGTGAGTTCAAATTTTCGTCTCTGCATATTGTACTAAAAAAATTGTTCATTAAATCAATTCTTATAGAGGTGTAATAGTAATTATATTTGTCAGCATGAATATAGTTAGTGGTAATTGGCATCTACTTTTTCCCTTCACATGTTCAAACCTTCATACTTCTCATTTGTTGTACTAAAAAAAATTATACCCACTTTTTTTGTTCGGAAAAAATTATTTTTAATATTCTCGTAAAGTTTAAAAATTATAATGAAATAATTAAAAACGTAAATAATAATATTCTGATCAAAATTAAAAAAGGAGGATTTTACATATATTGTCCTTCAACCTAGATACATAAGTGTAATTTCTGAATTAGAATATTAATTTTGGTCTTTAAAATTTACCCCTTTTATCTTGTTTGGAATTTGAAGAGTTTTCAATATGAATGCTGAAAATGTTATAGCAAAATGTTATTTCTTTTGAAAGTATAGTTTTCTTTCTCTAATTATTGACCATAACCAAGTGATATATAATATATCATTTTTATTGTATGAACTATTCAATAATAATATAATAATAATAATAATAATAATAATTATTATTATTATTATTATAGCTGTTCATCAACAATAATAAAATAATAAATTATGTCAGTTTAATTAGTAAAATTTAGTAAAAATATATTATTCAAACTGTACGGACAGAATGAATGACAAAAGTAAATTTTAAAGATGAAAATATATTTTAACCGTGTAATTTGTTAAAGTAAGGGGAAAAAATGACAGTTCTCTGTAGTCTAACCGTCTAACTTTGACTGATTGGATAATCACGTTTAAGAAAGATATGGGAACGTATAAAGTCGTTAGCAGAAGATTACTATAAATAGTTGTACTAAAAACAGAATACTATAAATAGAACAATACGCTTTTATTTATTTTTTTTACAGTGAATTTTTTTACAAATATGAAAAAGAAAGGTAGAATTCATTTATTATTATTAATTTTTTTTTTCAAAACTATCTCAGGGCAAAGAAATAAGTCATAGTCCATGAGAATTTTAAGTAGGAAAATACTTCGTTTCTAGTTTTGTTGGTGAAGACCAAAGAAAAATTGCACTTCTTTTTTAGTTATCCGACATTTAATAATAATATCAATTAAACAAGTCAAAATTCCTTGCGGCCTAAAAAAAGAGTGATATCAATTACTGCAATTTAGAATTACCTCGAGAAAGGCAAGGCGAGGGAAGGGAAGAAGTGTGGCGCAGACACTGGCGGCGGCGCCCATGGCGGTGGTAGCGGCGACGTGTAGTGGGTGCATGAGCGGCTCGGTGCTGGCGCCGCCGATGAAACCGACGACGTAAATGATCACAATCTGACCCAAAGCAATCCGTTTGGCGAGCAGATGGGTGGAGCTCGGAAGCAGCACCACGAGCGAGGCCAGCGCCACCGTCAGCGCGATGGTCTCGTACGAGAACTTGGTGGGTCCGATGAACCAAAACACCACCATCGCCGGACACACCGTCTGCAGCGTGGCGTACAGAGCCAGCCAGCAGCCGCGCACGGCGTCGCCGACGGTGGCGTTGGTCACTATGAGGATGGCCGTGACGTAGGAGAATGCCGGGAAGGTGACTTGGCGGCGGAGGGCGGCCGGGCCGTACAAGGTGGCGAAGGCGACCACGGCGCAGGCCACCGCCGTCCGGCAGCCGGAGGCCAGGCACGTGACCCACACCGCTCGGGATGCCATTGGTGTAATTTAATTTTGAGGGTTCGAATATTGCAGGGTTTAGAGAGGTTTAAGTAGAGAAGGAATAATGAATGATTTGGAAATTTTGTGGGTTTCTCAGTGGAACCCATGTGGCCCTACATTTTCTTCCTAGTTTTTAAATAACATATTGCATTTGCAGGCCATTAATTTAACACGCATGCATTTCCCTCTTTCTAGTATCTACCCATCTTATTATAAATTTATGTACTTGTTTATGTACTTTTATTCCAATATCAACACTATTTTCCTGAAAACCGAAGGAACCCCATTATTATGATATTCTTCGTTTTGGACATAACTTTTTCGATTTTTTTTTTGTTTCCCCAAAAGACTTTTTACCGGTGAAGATAATTATTTTCTCTTATATATATCATAGATCACTCCATTCTCTAGTTAATGTAGGGTTCTATTTGCACTTTTTTACGAACCTAACAATTTTTAGTACTATGAGAGTGCATCTACTCTACGTTGGAAACAATCATTCCAACAATGAAAGGAGTATCCATACTAACTGTAGTATCAGAAATTTTCTCCATTATTTAGGAGCTTAGGAGCTTATTGGTAGGAGGAAAAAATACAAGGGAGATGTTTTTTCTATATTTTAAAGAAAAAAAGAGTTGTGAAATTTGTAGTGGCGGTGGACATAAAAATAAATGCCACATAAATACTATTTTTCTTATATTTCGTGTGCTTGCACCCAAGTGAAAGAGGTCGTAAGCAAAAACATCAATAAATAAATTGCTCTCTCTCTTTTCCCCAATCTATTTATATAAATATTTATCAATCCTTTACCTAACTAAATAATTAAAAAACTGATCTTATGGAATTGATTTTGATTAGGACAAGGAATACTTTATTTGGACCATGTTGAATTCGTTTTTGATGTGAGGTTTTTATTTATATAGATAATGGTTTTAGTTTGTTTTGTGGGCGGGGTGTCCCTTGGGTAAATGAGTGGTTATATACCTCTTTTCTCTATTCCTTGCAAAATGTGAATGAGAATCCTAAAATCTTGATCCCTAAAAATTTATATTTTACTGGTTACCTTTAAATATTTGATAATTAAAAAATAAATAAATATAAAAATAAGTAATTTTTCTTTTAAATAATGAATTGTAAATTTTTCAATAGCGATAAATATCCATAAAGATTCATCATCACTCAAAACCGAAACTTAAGTATCTTTCAATATAAATTACTACACCACATAAATCATACACAAATTGAGGTAAACTATTTTTAGGGTATATTTGGGAGTGATATTAGCAGATGACCCAAAATCACTTTTGTCATTATCAAAGTTACTTTTCTTTCCATCGATCATGTTTGACAAATTAGAAAAGATTTTAGTAAAGTTTAAATCACTTGATTTTTAAAGTATCACTTGGACGGTGATTTTGGAAAATCAAATCTACTCAAATCTTTTTTTTTTTTCAAAATTACTTATTTTACCATCACTCTTAAATAAATCTTTAAACTCAATTTTTTGATTTGTCAAATATGATTAATGAGAAGATGAGTGATTTTTACGGTAACAAAAGTGATTTTCGTCATTCCAAAATTACTCCCAATCATGCATTTAATTACTATGTAAAGACAAAAGTTCTTTTACGAAGAAAAAACGGTTTATTTGTATTTGAGTATGAACGGGAGAAGAACATAACATACCCCTAAAATTGAGAGATGGTTTGAAAAAAAAGCCAAAACATTTGGTAGTGTGTTTAAAGAAAGTCAATGATAAATATTTTAGCCAATGTTAGAGTTATTTTGTAATTTGGTCCCAAATCTTTCAAAAATTGTAATCATTTTTAACTTATTCATTCTTTTTCCAAGCTAATATTTATTATTACTAGGGAAAAAACTTATAAAATTATAGTGATGTTAGGTAAAAATATATCTTATCAACCCAAACATAATTTTAAAATTATAATGACATTAAGTAAAAATATATCTTGTCAACCTAAGCATAGTTCAGCTAGTTATGACATATATCTCGGATCAAAAAATTGTAAATTTGAATTCACACAATTTACATGTTATGCTAAAATATAAGAAGAGTAAAATATATATCTTATTAAACTGTTTTTTTTTTTTTTTTTGTTAAACTACATGTAGATTATAGGAACAAAAATTTGAACCTTCGATTTTTTGGTCGTGGATATATACATGCTTTAATAAATTATGTTATGCTCATTTTATTAATTGAGTTAAAAAAATGTATAAATGAATATAACATCCCTACGAAGTCAAAATTTCAAATTCTCACATCCCAAACCTATTGTACTCGAAAAAAAGTTAATTTTTTTTTTTGAGTTAAGTATATGATTTGATACGTTGTAAACTTAGTTTAAAATTGCTTGGTATTAAAATGTTGGGTATATAACTAGGGTGACAACCTTATTAAAGCTACTAATTTTAAATTAATATAGTTAGGCCAAATTTAAAGTATAGATAAATGAAAGACCCCAATTAGAAGTCCTATTTTTCACATATAATATATTTACTATAGTGACATATTATACTAGAATAGAATGGCATTCTATTTTTTCTAGTTTTATTTTATTTTATTTTTCAAAATAAAACTCAAACGTCAATCCTCTCACGGCCTTACAATTCTCTAAGTTTAGTGCAGAAAACATTCTATTTTTTCTAGTTTTATTTTATTTTATTTTTCATAAACAAAATTAATCAAATTGAATTTGAAATTTAGTAATATTATCTATTGAAAAGAGTTTATTAACGAACTTAGATTGTCAAAATTTAATACATAACTTTACATCTTCAAAAGTATTATTAAAAATAAATGTGAGATGATATATTGATATTCTATATTAAAGCCGCTATACTAAGATTTACCAAAAGTCTCGTGTCATCTCAAACCATATCCCAGTATATATCTTTATTCTTTAGACATTGAGTGATTATAACGGCTTCAAATATGTGCTTTCATGTTAAAAATACTTTAATTCCATTGGACACTTTACTTCCCTATAATCACTTTTTTGATAACTATATTAACTCATTTTCTTTTAACTAATTAAATTTCTCTACTAACCTATAATATTTTCGTACCAACTTCTCACTGCATTCTAATCTCAATTTTCTTTTCTTTGAGATAACATTCTAATCTCATCTTAGAATGATGTATATCTAATAAAATATTGCACCGGAGATGAGTACAAGTAAGAAAATAATTTATTTTATTCACATTATTTAAATAATATTTTTATAAGTTATAAAAATTCAAAGTATAAATCCTAACAACCAAGCCTATCTTTTACATTTTAACTATTTATCATGTGTACCTCTAGATAAAGATAAAGCTCATAGTTGCAATCCTATGTCATATAATATGGTATATAATGGTATTAAAAAAATCTCACCTATAAATGAAACCTTCATGCAGTTTTTGTTGATTTTTATTATTTATTTATTTATTATTATTATTATTTTACCCAACAAATATGAATTGAAGATTCGAACTCATTACCTCTTAATAAGAAACATGTGTCTAGTTTCAATTTAATTCTTCCATCACATTTGCCATTTGCTAGTATGATAAGGTTATTAAGGACTCGTTTGGTAACGTTTATGTTTCTAGTTTCTTGTTCTCATTTCTCAACCAAACATGTTTGGTAATCAATATTGTTTCTTGTTTCTAAAATATGAGAAATGTTACAAAAAAGGATCAATTTTTGAAAATTACAAAAGGTAGTTTCGTTTTTGCTATTTTTGGGACAAGTGTAGATGTTCTCGGATTCATCTTAAAACCAATTGACAATTAGAGGAGAAGCCCATGTCGATTATAAATCTATGTAAGATCCCATCTTTTATCAATGTGGGATCCTTAACATTTATCTAATTTAGTCCCAAGCATATTTTTTCAAACTACTTTATTTTTCTCTATGCTTGATTCTCTCTAGTTTAGTCTCTCTTAGGCACGATTTCTATTACTAAAGTGTTTTCAATCCCTATCATATTTTATCTCAATATATATATATATATACACACACACTCCATACTCTATTTTCAATTTTACAATGTACATACTTTCTTTTATTATTAATTTTTTAAAAAGATCACTTCATTATGTACGTGAGAAACATAAAACAAAAAGGAACCTACTTTCTTTTATATAACATAAATAGTTTACCCTCCCTTTTCAATTCTCTCTCAAATTAAATAAAATTCTAAAGACCAATATTCTCTCACATATACACGTCTTTCATTTTTACAATATCATAGAAAAAGAAAATCATTGATTTCAGGTAGAATTACAATTGTACGCATGCGTCAGAATGATAGAACTCCCCATATTTATATATACTTTGATATCGTAACTTTTGTACGAAAGCTCACATTACTGTGCATTCTACCTTTAATCCAAAAATCCTTGTACCAATGGAAATATTGTTATTACTTTTATATGCACTAGGGATCTTCCTGGCTAACTTTTAAGTTATTGGAGAAACTCGATATTTCAACCAACAAAGTACCCTCCATTTCATGTTATATTACAAGGAACCCAAATCTTCATCTTTAATAATGATATATTAAACAATCCTAACCAAACTTTAACTACAACATAAAATGATTAGTCTAACATTATTAATTAATCATTTGCATATATTATTATGGATTACTGGAATGTAACACATCTTCATCAAGTGGGTAATATACTATATTATTTCATATACAACATCATCTTATATAATCAGTGAAAAAAGGTACAAGTTTTTAATCCTAGGGAGATCCTTCTCTTCTAATTTGATTGGATTTGGCATGAAGTAAAATAAAAAATTAAAGGGAGAGGTCAATTGAATTAGTAGCTTTCATTGAACTTTTTTCTTGGATTTTGTAGTTATTAATTTTGAAATGGAAAAATAATAAATAATTAAAATCTCTTCCACCATGGGGCTGGTGGATTAAAATATGGTAATATGTACACTGTAAATTCCATTACCTTTTGTGCTTAGTGCCATTCAACTTTCACTTTAG